GAGAGAGAGAGAGAGAGAGAGAGAGAGAGAGATGGAGTTACTTCTCGCCAAACGACCGACGTTACCATCGACTCGACCCTCTCCCTCGTCTCTCTCCTGATCCCCGTCGACCTTCCCCGCTGTCGTCGGCTCCGTGCTACCAGACGACGACGTCGAATTCGACGGGACACTCGTCTCTGACGAACCGACGGAGGCTGTCGTCGTCGTCGTCGTCGGCGGCGGGGATGCGGTGGTGTTGGGCGTTGCTATGGCGACATGCGAGAACGCCGTGACGTAGCAGCCGATGAAATCTCCCGCGGAGAAGAAGCTGGACCACGATTTTGGCTTGTTGTCCCACGCTGCCGCTGGTAAGGGTTATTATTATTATAATTATTATTACATTTATTTATATTGCGCCTTTTACATACAAACAAAAAACAAACAAAAAGAAAACATTAAAAAAAACGTATTACATTACGATGCAAATACGATGTGAACCTCCATAGCAGTGACTTAGTAAGAAATTACGTCACTATTGCCTCAATACAAGTGAACGTCTCTAGCAGTAAGTAGGAAATTACGTTACTTCTTTTTTTTAATACAAGTGAACGTCTCTAGGATGGAGTTAGGGATGACGTCATTACTGTCTTAATACAAGTGAACGTCTCTAGCAGTCAGTAGGGAATTACGTTACTTCTTTGTTTAATACAAGTGAACGTCTCTAGGATGGAGTTAGGGATGACGTCATTACTGTCTTAATACAAGTGAACGTCTCTAGCAGTAAGTAGGTAATTACATTACTTCTTTTTTTAATACAAGTGAACGTCTCTAGGAGGGAGTTAGGGATGACGTCATTACTGTCTTAATACAAGTGAACGTCTCTACAGGTGTGAAGCAAGTAGTAACCAGCGCTCCACGAGAGGGCGCGAGACACCGCGTCTCTCACCATTGGTTGCATACACCTCGACACCCTCTCCGCCGCAAGTCTTCGCCTTGTCTCCTGTACAGGGGGTGCTGCACGGCGCTGGCGACGGACCGTAGGTTCCGTAGATCTTGCCACAGAAGCAGCTGTGACCCGCCTGTCGTAAACACAAAAGCCATCGTCACGGCCATGTTGCGTACCGGATGAGAAATTATTGTACATCCTAATTAAAAGACTGAAGAACCAAGGTTTACTATTGTATAAGAACAACGAATTTATTCCTTTTTTTCAGTGCAGGTTGTATAAGAACAACAATTTATTCCTATTTCGAAGTTCCTGTTTTTCCAGTGCAGGCGGCCACGTTAGTGTTTGACACTGGCTTCTGGGAAGTAGTTGGCGCTACCTATTAGGCACATTAGAACGCATGTTATAGTAATCTTACAGAGATCTACAACGAAGTGACAACGACGACGACACGTCAACGAAGTGACAACGACGACGACACGTCAACGAAGTGACAACGACAATGACACGTCAACGAAGTGACAACGACAATGACACGCCAAGGAAGTGACAACGACGACGACACGTCAACGAAGTGACAACGACGACGACACGCCAACGAAGTGACAACGACGACGACACGCCAACGAAGTGACAACGACAATGACACGCCAACGAAGTAACAACGACGATGACACGCCAACGAAGTAACAACGACGATGACACGCCAACGAAGTAACAACGACAATGACACGCCAACGTATGTAACACATCATATACATCTCATCAACATTAAAGACATAATTGTCATACATATATTAAAGACATCATGTCGTATTAAATACTGTCTCGTCGTCAGAATGTCACGTTCATGAACCGGACCGTTGACATTGGCAACAACGCTGCCGCTGCTTCTACCTGTAGTGCTGCGAATGGGTAGTTCTCCTTAGCGCACGCTGCGACGCACTTCGCCCTCGTGGTGAGGATGTTCATCTGTTCAGTTGAATCGAATTCGAACTCGCTGACGCCACCTGGCGGTGCCGCATTGTAACACCCTCGGAATGCCTCCGCCTCCTCTGAGGATCGGTTGTTAGCTGCCACGAGAATGATCTTCATTAAAAAATTTCTTGCATGTTAATTAACTAGTTCAACGTGAAAGCTAATTAGCTTTAACATTTTTTTAACAAGTAACAAACTAAACAACTAACAAGAAACAACTAACAAGCACATCCGTAAAAGGACGAGGAAGGTGTCAATTGTCAACGTACGTGCGCATATGAGTGATTAGAAAGATTGAGGACAGAGAGATTACTAGTAACTGTATTTGGCTGTAATACTCGGGTATAATGCTCTGGTGGAAATATTCGCGAGACAGGAAGAACAGAAACTATGAAATCCGTAAATAGGTACGACGGAAAACCAAACCAATTCACAATCCACAAAAACTTTCCAAAAATGTATTCTATTGTATACATACAAAATATAAAAATGAACTTTCTATAAAAAAACATTCCTGTTGCATTTTCTAGTAATGCGACAACGGACGAGACGGAAAAGCACAGAGGAGAAGAAAGAAGATGGAGACTTACCTCGGGTGGCGTAGACAGCCTTATATCCTGGGAAGCCACACAGATTATACGAGAGGTCACACGGTTCGCATCCGACACCGCCTGTTGTCGGTTTCTCGTCGCTGCGAAACAAGAGACAACGTGATATTAAATCACCGAATACATTCAGTCGCATCACAAAACTACTCGCAATATTAATATCCTAATCGAAAACATTCATTCGCAGGAGAATATAACTCATGATAATATTAATATCTCTGAAAATTGATACCTGGTACATACCACACGCGTGAGTTGCTGCAGCCGCGACACTGCCAGTACAGCTCCTTGCTGCTGCACCCTCCCACACCGTAGGGGAGACCGGGCACAATTGTAACACGGGGCAAATGTAACAGAGGCCCTCATTCCTAGTAGAAACGTGCTATATGTATACGCTCTTCACAGCGTATGCACATTTCATTGCCCCACATGCTGTCCTGAGGGTAGGCAGGTTTACGCATCGAGGAACATTTGACAGCCAAAACATCGTTTCTTTAGCAGGTAAGTAAAATCTCGAATTACCTAATGTTTTTTTTCTGGACAAATATGTACTTGAGCTATCACTGTCATTTGTATATCATAAAAAAATAGGTTTTTAGGCCTGTATTTGGTAAAAGTTTCATTGACGAATACTAATGCTAATTAAGATACAAAAACAGCCCCCAAATTATGGCCGTCTCCTCGACTAACAACGTGTTACAATTGCCCCTTGGC